GACCGTTCCGGGCCTTTCTGAATCAAGGGCGTTAGAAATGCTAAAACAGCTGAAGAGCGCGGGGCGGGAGAGTTGGGAGATCGGGCAGACGGTTTTGCATCTTGCATGCACGCAAGTCGAATTGACGTCATCAGCGGGCATGCAAGAATTAAACACCTCAAATCCCCTGGCTTTCCCGCCGCCGGAGACGATCCCGCACTGCTTTGGGGCCTGCGCCCACCCAGTTATTCACGGCCTCAGGTGCAAGCGCCATGGCGCTTCAGTCAAGTGCCTGGTTGACACCATTGCTGCTGGTGGCCTGGGCGACCGCTTGTTATATCACGACAGTGAGCTGGGCGACCGCACCGCTCGCAACCTGCCAGGCTTTGTCCCCCGACACCAGGGCCATACCACCCCGGACATTATATTCCTCCCTGCTATGGAGCCCAACCGCGCCCACACCATCTCTCTCAGCCAGCTCACCCCTGAGGAGCGTGTGCTCGTCTGCGTGGAGGTCACGCATGCCGCCGACACCCGCCTTTCGGCGGCAGTTGCTGACAAGCTGGAGCAACACAGCTCTTGGATGCATTACCTGGTTCAACAGGGGTGGCAGGTCACCTGCTTCCCTGTCGCCGTGTCCCACTCGGGCCTGGTCACTTCCACAGCGCGCGCTGCTCTCGAGCGGTGCGGCGTTGCGCCCCGCCAGGCGGCGACGGCGGTTCGCCGCCTTGTTCGCAGTGCCCTCGCTTACAACGTGCAGATTCGCACATCACGACGATCACTGTATGCACAGACGCCGCCGGCAGCTCAGAACCCTCCAGATCCAGCCTGACAGCCTCCTGTGGGGAGGGAGTGGCGGCAGGCTTCCTCTGGAAAGTCGCTGCCACCGTTTCTCCCCCTGAGTCACCGTGTTTGGTCACATCTTCTTCTTCTTCTTGACAGGGCCCTTGTCGCCCTTTAACAACAGTTTCAGCCCTGGTAACCCGCCGAGGCTGTAGAGGCGCAGCCGTCTCGACGAGTCTGCAGCCAGCATCCAGAATTTTGCGTGCTTTTCCAAGCCGATTTCGGGGTGCTGCAGCAGGAGGGCGGAAAAGGGGTCCGCAACCTCCCACGACCATTATTCCAAGCATGATTTTATGTCCTGCTGAATTACAGCATCCAGTGGCACGCTGGCAACTGCTCCTCCTCTTAACGCCGCTCATTATCGTGTGCTGGACCAAAGATCTTTCATCGGGATTGGGACGAGTGCAATCAAGGTGGCCTGCTGGCCGTCTTCTGCACGGTGTCAGCCTGGCGCTGTCGCTGAGACACTTGCCCTCCTTGCAGGCGGCAAGTAGGACAGCCCGCACGCATTCACGTCACCACGTTTGTCAATACAGGCTACTCTGCAGAGCGCCTCTACGCTTTGCTGCGCATTGCTACTTTTTTGGGGACAGATGTGGAAGTGCTGATCGCCTCTGATGTTGCTTTGCAAACAGAGCATAAAGGCGGGTGGACTACCTCGGGGGCAAAGGTCAAGGTGTGCCTCTAGTGCTCACAAATGCTCGGAGTGCAAACAATAGCCCCTCCCACGAGCAACCCCAATGCACTTCAGGCCTTACATGACTACTGCACGAACCTGACAGCTCACGGTGCTGGCGATGACATTGTCATGGTGACGGACGCATTTGATGTCATCATACGTGGACCGCCACAAGCAATCTTGGATAGATACAATGAGACTGTAGGGGGGAAACGGTCAGCAGCACACTTCAGTGATATGTGTCGATGCAAAACGTCTACTCAAGGAATGCATTGTCATGCTGTGTGGCATGCTACCCGCAGAATGGTATTGGTGTCTGCTGAGGTCAATTGCTTTCCTTCATACCTGCGCGCATGTCAGAATGAAAGTGTTTGGTACACTAAGAACCGACCTACAAATACCTCGTATAAGTTCTTGAATTCCGGAGGATATATTGGTCCTGCCAACTTGCTGCTGCTCATCCTCAATTCGGCTATCAACTTCAGTAATCCCCATAGCTATCAACAAGAGGACCAGGGTGTTTGGCAGGTACTTACCAGGTTTGTTGAGCAACACATGTGCGGTCATGTCTTAACCGATTATCCTTTCTCCCTCATACATTGTTGCAGGAAATTCTTGTTGACAGCCCATACAAAGATCAGATCATGCTTGATCATCACAGCACAATTTTCCAGAGTATGTTTTATGCAGAGCATCACATGGCATGCCGACCCGGCGAGGGGTGGTTTTCTAGGCAAGTTGAAAGGTTTAACAGTTGTGTAGGGCCTTTAGGCTGGCATCTCATTTTTGAAAGCTCTGCAGCGATCCAGCCGTTGCTGCACCATTCTTTCTTTGCTTCATTGCTGGTGCAGAGAAACGCAGACCTACGCCTATGTTCTGCACCAGAATGGGCCGGTCAAGGAGTTTTTTGCCGGCGCCCTTGTTCCTTCATTTGAAAATGCACTTAACATATCGGAGACACCACCAAAATGCCCTGAGCCACTAGATGGACACTGGTGCCGCCACGAAAATAAAACACTTTCCGGATGGCGCACGAAGTGTTGAAGTCATTTACTTTACTCTTTGCCACTTTTGAAATCCAATTCACCAGCAACATGCATGCGCTGCGGTGCAATGAGACCACATTATACTGGATAGACACGCGCACTGCCGAGCAAAATTATCGGCAAGTAGTCCCCTGAGTACAGGTGGTGTTGAAAACCACCGGAGAGGGAGGCAGGGAGGGAGGGAAAAGGGAGAGTGGCCCACCAGCTAGGGTAAGTCACGTGCTGTCGGCTGTCTGACTGCGTCCCACTGACCCAAATGCTGCTACAAGCACAGCCGACAGGCTGCTAGGGGTACAGCCCGGTGACTGTCAAAGACACTATACTGCATGCAGTGCAACAAATAGGCAAACCGCCGGCCAAAAAGTCAGTCCCATGCAGCCCCCCGGTTTGCGGCACATAGTATTCAAATATCCGGCACACAGTTCTGCAAACCGCAACAAGTATGGTTCAAAACCTATCACATTGGGGTGACCACCATGGGGGCGAACCCAGCGTACTATGCTTCCACACTTGTTTAACAGCTTTTCATGGTTGCAAGAGCATGTTTACAGGAGCAGAAATTTTAAAAATAGGGGACAGACAGAAACCATCAGAGTTTGAGCAGTGAACGAAAATGCCCGAAATGAAGACTAACAAGTTGATTGCCAAAGTGAATGGTCAGGCTGTTGGGTTACATAGCTTTGAATAAGGGAACGCAGTTCTAGCAACGATGCATTTGCAAACTGATAGCTGGTCACCCAATTGTTATTGATTAGCTGTAACCAGGTGTAGTTGAACGGCAGGTAACGGTAAACACAGTGTTCAAGATTGGGAAAGTCACCAGATGTAATCACCCGTTGATGTATGTGCCCTGGTTCCCAAAATACACCTCTCTTGTGCATGCCCATTGCGCCAATGTTGTTGCAGCGTGCCACGGCAGGCATGGTTTCAATCCAGCCTTGGGCGACAACCAAGTCCACAAGGTTTGCATCCTGCCCGGTCCAATTTGCACCCAGTGCATCCCAAGTGCGCCGCCATGTGGCCCAGCCCCAGCCGTGTGCCCAGCTGTTTGTGAAGTACTTGTCTAGCAAACCCAACTCGCGTGCTGCAACTAGGTCATGTCCCTCGGTAGCACTTTGGTCGTATGGGGAAACTGTTGACCAGCAGGACGCCGTGGATATCTCGGGGTGCGCAAAAATCAAGCCGCTGGTGACATGCCACTCAAACCATTGTAGGGCATCGCGTTCCATCACGATGTCGTCCTCAAGGATCACCACAAAGTCACTGAGGGCCAATGCGTAGTCCACCGCACGTTTCTTGTTTGCCCAGACTCCCAGATTGGCATCCGAAATATTGATGACCACATTGCCGAAGCCATGCCCATTGTGCGCCATCCACTGCAGTTCTTGGGAGTAGGTGATAATGCTCTCCCAGCCCTTGTGGTCAAACAGCAAGCCATCATGTTGGCGGCTAAACTCGGCCTCATCCTGGGGTGCTCCATCAATTGCAATGGTCACCAAGTAATCCTTTGAGCCCCACGCACGCCGGAGGGCAGCAATGACTTGCCGGAAATATTCAAACCGATCGAAAGCGACAACCGCGACAACCTTGTTGAACCGAAAGCCCGCTGGTATGGCTGCGAATTTTGTCGAGGCTGTTGGTTTAATAGCTGTGCTTCCCAATGAAGAATCACACCGATCCGTCGACAGCTCCTTCCTTGCCAGAAGAGCCAGACCAGCGAAGGCAAAGAGCGCCAAACTTCCCATAAGTAAATGCAGGTGTTTGCGCGGCCGTCCCATAGGTTTATGCCCCCCCCCCCCCCCGCGCACGTGGAGGCTATCTCTTCCCGGCCTATCGAAGGCAGCGGACGGTCGCTGCGGGCGGCACGGGGCGGGATTTTAAGCTAGAGTGGGTTAAAGCAGAGTCATAAAAGGGCCCCATTGCGTGTGCAGCTGGCAGCAGCCCCTGCCTGCTGCGGATTGCCTGCAGAGGGTCGAAGAATATCGTCGGGGCAGGTTTGTGTAGGGCGCACAGGTCGGACTTGGTAGTTGGGGCACGTGGTTTGTGCTGCAAACTCGAGCTGGGATCGGGAAATGGGTGCGTCAGGAGAACGCCAGGCAACGAGGGCCCGCGCGGGACACTGCGGCTCGGCACGGCAATGAGTGTTCTGCGAGTATTGCGCGCGCGTAGATTTGCTTGAGAGCAGCAGCAGGCCCCGCGCCACCTGGCTCGCGGAAAATGCGGCATAGCGGGAGTCCCGCCCTCTGGCAATGCAAGCACGCACATGTTTATTGGCAGAATATCAGACTATGGCAGGGCGGCGCCGCTTTGCAACGGTTACATTGGCGTGGTCAGCAGCCCGAAATGTGCAGCTGCTGGGGTGGGGAGTACTAGAAGTGTCTTCCGACCAGATCGATTGTAACGGCAACGCCTGCCTGAATTGCTGCGCGGCGACGCCCGCTGGGGGCGCCACGATGCAGGTGAGGCGTGGGCGGCGCGCCTTGCCCCTCGTTGCCCGAGGTGTAGGCAAGGCATGCATCCCACCAGAACTTGGATGGGCAGGTAATTAATGTTTTTATCAAAATATTACTCGTTTCAGGTCCATCTGAACGCGCCATTCCAGTTATCCTATTGCCAATTGGGCGGCACCTGCGCAGCGTGCGGGCCTGGTGCTCCTCCTGATTCTTAGGCACAATTAGCCAAGCATTTTGAGCCACTCCCCGGGCAATGGTTAACCACTGGGGGGAGCCCATGCAGGGGCCCAGCGCAGCCCAAAACGCTCCCCGCTCTCTGAATTTCGGCCTTCCTGCCCATTTCTCCGTCGTGTGGTGCAATGCCCCTCGGGGAGAGCCAGGCGAAGCAGTTCCCGCAGAGTCGGTGATCAGGGCTGGGCTTGGGGGCGAGGAGAGGCTCGATCAGCGGGCGTATCCCAGCCTCTATGACGTCTGAGTCGCTCTGAAGCAGCGGGAACGGGGGCTGGGAGTCGGCTGGCACTCCGCCCATGCGATGGTGCCGGAGTGAGAGAGGCGGCCCGCTGACCGCCTGAGACGGCTCCACTAATTACCCAGCAATTATTGCAAGCGGGAAACAGCTCTCTCAGGGGGTGTTTGGAGGAAAGAGGCTATTGGGCAATTGGGTAATTGGAATGACGCGTTCAGATGGACCTGCAACGAGTAATCCAAGCAGTGTTTCTCGGTATTTTCCACCACCGGATAAATACCAGATGCTTGGGGATCATGCACTTAAAATACTGTGTATGCACCATTGATCAATTCGCTGCGCTGCCCAATAGCCAATTATAATAAAGTTCCTACTCGCCCAGCATGTTGGTCGGTAAAAATAAGGCCAGCCTCAAAGCAGTGTCAATGTGATTTCCGCAGGGAAAGACAAACTACTCCCCGTGGCCAGATCCGCTCCGTGCGTGATGGGAATAGTGCGAAGAAGCGAGTCCACGCGAGTCACTTGGCTCCAGTGTTTCTGAAAGCTGGCGAAATCGCCAAATGCTGGCGAAATCGGGCCAAAAAACGGCTCTGGCTGGCGATTGGCCGAAGGCCATCGCCAGCCAGGGCTGGCTAAATGAGGGCAGGCGGCGGGGCGACATCGCCAGCGCGTCGCCAGCCCCCATGACTGACATCGCCAATATTTTGAGGAGAAATGGCCAATTTTCCTCAGGAACTTCACTCCATAGTGTTAAACAAGCGCCAGCTTGCTGGGGGCTTCGCCCCCAGTCCCCCAAAAGGGAGGCAAGTGCCGACAAAGCAACAGCGGCGCCGCATGTGGCCGCTGCGCTGTGCCAGGCGCAAGGGTGGCTCCCCCGCATTTCGCCAATCCTCAATGTGCCATCGCCAGCTGATTGGCGAAATTTGGACGCGACAGCAGTCCTCATCGCCCGCCCATCGCCAAAGCTGCCACGAGGGCCAGAAACACTGCTTGGCTCGAAGCCAGGCTCCTGCCTAATAGACAATACTTTGTGACGACATATATTTGTTGCGAGCAGGAAGTCTTGATTCGCGGCCCTCCACCTGCCCCACTCGTCGAGCCCTCGCTCCCTCCTGCGCTTGCTTTCCCAAGAGTAGAACTGCATCCTAGGGCACGCAGGCCCTCGCGCGCGACAGCACGATTACTGTTGTTGTCCCACTTGCGGAATCCCGCTTGCAGCAGCAGGGTGAGGCAGTGGGAGGAGTGAGGCAGTGGGAGGAGTGCGGTGGGAGGGTAGCGCGTCAAGACCGCCCGAGGGAACCCCTCCGCCTCGCCCATAATGAAAGTAGCCAGCCCAGACGCACATACCGGAAGGAAGGGCGGACACGGGGTTTCTGCGACTTCTGTCAGAATCCTGCCAGCAATCTGTTCTGTTGTAATTCTTCACTTTTGGATTTCACATCATAGCAAGGTTGGTGGTGCAGTTGAATGTTACAAACTTATCTGCGACAAACTTATCAACCTTTGCTCCTGCAGCGTTATGGTCGAGACCTCCAGAATAACCTCATGGCAGAGCAGCAACACGTGCTTAACAATGCGTTACATAGTATTCAGGCAACCATCACTGAAAAGGCCGGCATCAACGATTTCAACCAAATTATGGATGCTAAGGCTAAGGAATTAAGGCATGAAGTTGTCAAGCGAGACAAGGAGATAGAGGCAAGGGATAAACGGATAGAAGTGCAGCAGAGAGAGTTCAAGGAACTGTCTGAGAAGTTCAGCAATATCACCAGCGACTTGTTGCATGAGCGAGACAACATACAAAAGCTTCGGAAGGAAATGGCTGAGCTGACGCAGCAAGTGGATGACGATGTTTTAGGAGACAAAGAGGTCTTCAGGCGTGCATTGACTCCGGAGCTTCTGGGGCAAGCTACTACTCGGCTGACCGAGGCACGCGGCATTGTGATGTGCTCAGGCGGCAGCACCTACACCATCAATTCATATGCAGTGGCATACACTATACGGCATTACCACAAGAGCTCACTTCCAATCACACTTATGTGAGAATAGCACATTGATTTGCTGTTCTTGTACGGGTTTTTATTGCAAGCTAATTTGTGCTACGGTTAAATGCTCATCTCGCTGCAGGTACTTTAAGAACGAGGAGAAGTCGGAGAAGAACACAGCCCACATCAATGAGTTGACAATTCAGTTCATGAAGGTGCAGCTTACATCTTACTGCTAATGCTGGCATTGTGTCCTACTTGTTCGAGGGCGAAGCCCCGGTGGCATCAGCGGGGCCGCCTGCGTGCCCAGCGAGCTCGCTTCGCCTCCACTCGGCCACCTTGTCATTGCTCAGCCATTGAAATATCGACGCCCTGGCCCCGGCCTGGCCGTGCCTGACTTGGCGTTCTACCATTGACTCTCGCGGCACATCAACCAATCACATCTCCAGTAGCGCTTTTCAGGCCTGATCACGGTCCCTGGAGGCCATGATCAGGCCGCATGCCATCTCCGTCAGCTGCCGACAGCTGCTGTTTCTGCCTCCTGGCGGGGCCTGCCACCAGAACTGTAGCTTCCGTCACATTTTTCCGCTCCCACTTGCGCATTATTGTGCATGTTTGGATTGTGTCAGCCTGTTCACCAATCTTTCATCCTTTCTGTGCAGGAACATATCCCAAATCTCAGTGTTATGGACCTGTCGGCGTTTGCAGTGCCACCATACCACAGATGGCTCTGGCACCCCGAACGAAAGCTCACTAGAGTCACTGCAGGGTAAGCCCTGGCTGATGAGTAACAGCATGCCATTTTAATTATTAACAATCCTTGTCCTGACCTCTTCACTGCAGATTTAAACTGAAGGTGCTGGCATTGTATGCTGCCCCTTACAAGGAGGTCTTGCTCCTTGATGCGGAGACGCTTCCTACCGTGACACCTGAGGCTCTCTTTGACAGTGACGAGTATCAAACGTTTGGCAACATGTTTTGGCCGGATGCTTGGTGCCACGAATGGCAGCTTTTTCACAAGTTTGGAATACGGAGCCGGTGGTGGGGCCTGAAGCCAGAGGATCGACGACCGCAGCAAGCTGAGACTGGACAGCTGCTGATCAACAAGTAAGGCGGAGTAGCACTGCATTTTGTAAGCAGTATACAGCAAAGCACGATTGTCATTGCAAGTTTGCAGGGAGCGCCATGCTGACATCATGGAGTGGGTGCTGTGGCTCAACACTCATGATTCATTCACTTATCGTTACACGCACGGAGACAAGGACACCTTTGGTGCAGCTTTTTACGTAACAGACAAGGCAGAGCAGTACTACCAGGTGAGTTGGGGCGTCTCTGCTAAAACAGGGTTCTCTGCTCAAGCAAGACATGTTGACCTTTCGAAACAAAGAAGTGGAGTCTAATCCATCATGCCATTTCTTCTGGAACAGGTTTCGCAACAAGTGTCCTTCTTGATGCACGACAGCCACCCCGAGGTGACCGTCTTTCTCTTTCATTTCTGCTATTTATGCAGGCGTCCGTGTTTTTTGGTGCTCATGCTCAATCTGCATCCCTATATGCCTGCTGCAGCCACACAAATTTTGGAATGTTGGGCGTGCGCAACACCACCCTAACGGCAGCATAGCATTCTTGCACCGGCTTGGTGAACATCGGTTCCAACGGGACCGCGACGACTTGATGGCATTTAGTCACCTGCTTTACCAGCCCTCCTGCGACTGGTGTCAAAAGTATAAAGACAACCACACGGAAACCAACTGGCCTTTCCCTGACGAGTCAGCCAAGGTTATTGACTCTGACAGGTGCCACTACAACTTCTCCGACTTCCAAGCAGACAAGCAGCGGTGTCAAGTGGCCTACGACTTTGCCAAGAGCGGAGAAAAAGATACCCCTCCTGTCTGGAAGGTGTGCTGCTATGTGTTTGCAGTTCTTCCTGCGCTGAACTATAACTCACAGTTCCATTCCTGCAGGTGCCTGAGGGCTCGCTGATTCAGAAGGTGCAGCACTATGCATATGAGGCATTCCTTGAAGCACGCGTTCAAATCAACAAGAACGCTGAGCTGTTTGCTAAATGATGCATAATTTCGCTAACAATTGTTGGCTGCATATAAATGAATCGCACGCGAAGGCAGCCAAGGTAGGGGCAGGGGGGGGGGGGGCAGGTGCATTTGTGGACAGCCCGGCGGCAAAAGCTGGGCGGCGATTGCTCGCAACCCACCATGCCCACCCACGCCATCTTTGAGCTGCAACAGCCGGAACATCTCCACCGAATCTTCTGAGAGGTAGACAGCGTTGATCACAGGGCTGGTGGACACGCAGCCAATCTGGAAGGGGTGCGCTGTGACGTTCTTCTCGCCGTGCAAAGTGCACTCAAAAATGGGCACCACGAGGGAGCCCGCCACGCTGCCAAGGCCGTCATACACTGCCGGCATGATTCCAGTCTTCCTGAAACAGCAAAGAGTGCCGTCATGCCGGCCAGCTGTGGGCCAGCAGCACAGTGGCTCCGTGCTGTCCAGCCGCGCCTGAACCTGCTGGATTTCTGCCGTTTGCTGCCCCGCCTGCAGCGCCGCCCGCTGCGGTGTGGTGGCCAGCATCATCTGCTCGTCCGCCTCTCTCCTATCGTCCCAAGCATCGTGCCTGCGCTGCTGCCGCTCGCTCCACCAGCCGCTGCTGCTCGAGGTGTTTGGCCCCGCCGCCGGGGGGTCGGCGTCAGCGGGTAGGAAAGGTAGGTAGGATGGGAAAGCTGGGACGGGGCCCTGGGGGCTGGCGGCGGCGGCAGTTGGGAAAGGTAGGTAGGATGGGAAAGCTGTCGGATGGGCCCCCTGGGGCTGGCGTCGGCATGGCCCTGTCGGCATGCTGTCCTACCCTCCCCCAGCTGGGACAGAACCGCCCCTCTTGCCCATGGCTCAACGAGAGGGGAAAATGGTGGAGGTTTGTGGGAGATGAAGCCTGAAATGTGATTAGGCCCCGATTAGGTTGATTTCACTAGCTGTACTCCCCAAAGTACACCAGCCTCTCGAGTGAATGAGCTTCAAATACCTGATTTTTTCATTCATCTCACATTTATTTCCATGCTGCTCGGTTCCTGGAATGGGCACTCCCACAGAGGCGTCTCCAAACCCCAACTAACCTTCGGGTGGCGCCACCTGAACATGCGCCGTGCACAACAGGCTGCAATGCCAGAAAGGTTTGGTCAATTTTATCCCGCTCATAACAAACAGGCTGCACTGCATACCATCTCTACTGTGAATGATGCTTTGCCTAGAGGCGCTGTGAGCACCACGCTGTCACTATCTGCCGATGTTTCAAACAAGTTGGAGCTCTGGTGATGTCTCTGCTGTAGCACTGTTTTCACCAGAGTTCTTGACACTACACGCGTAAAACATACGAGCCACAAGGACATACACGCCAGTTTTGCCGCCCTCTGCATTAAAAGGCAGCGCAACGCTGACGACCAATGGTATAACCCGCAGAAACGTATGTACTTACAAACAAATTCGTCAATGGATCCGTCTGTGCATAGCCATGCTGCCTGTGCATTTGTGAATGCTTACATCTACCCACGGCCGTTGCCATCTGCTGCACATGCCATTTCAGGTTCTCATTGGACGGGCCGCTACTTGCTCCTCAGCTGCTGGTTTCCATGAATATCAGATACCAATATTGCTACCCTCACCTGACGACACTTCAACCACCCAATCGCCCAATTGCAATGCACAATAAGCAGTGTTTGTCGGTATGTTTTCACCAGCGTTGAAACGCAGTGGCCCATCCTGCACTCACATACTGTATAACATATGCACCATTGCTCAATTCACTGAGCTAAGAGCCAATTACGGCAGTTCCTACTCCCGGTATGATGGCCAGCAAGGCCAAGCCTCACTGGTATGACCATCCCGTAGGGGAAAGCAAACTACTCCCGGGAGACAGATCCGCTCCGTGCATCATGACCCACCACGGGGGATGCATGACCCCCGCCAGGACACCACAGGAGGGGAGGGAGGCTACTGCGTCGGGGGGTCAACCTGGCACCTTTTATGGAAATTTAGGGGCCGCTGACACGAGCTCTTACTCGTGTTGGAAAGAGCTCGTGACACGAGTTCGTTGCGCCGGCCACCGCCCCCAAACGCCTCTGTTTCATTGCAACTGAGGCTGAGACGGGCTGAAATGGTGTGGAATGGGAGCGGAGGAGTCGTAGTGGGCCGGGCCAACGACATCCCCGACATGGGCCCCGCGTTGCCGCCCTCTGCGGGGCCTCCGGAGCTTGAGTTCAATGCAATTCAGCATTCCACAATTGCCTACGCCTGTCGGATGCGTTCTCCAGCCTTGGGGAGGCGCGCTGAGAGGTCGTATATCGAAAGTAGGAAAGCCGGCATACGAGCTCGTGCTCGTGGTGACCTGCCTCGTGGGGACGAGCTCTATATAATTAAAAGGTGCCAGGTTGACCCCCCGACGCAGTACCTGGCGCGGGACAGTCGCGGTACGCATTGCCACTTTGCGCTTGTTGGCCCGGCGCGCTTTGGCGGTTACTCTCCTTCAGCGCACAAATTGTTTACAAGCAGCTGCTCGCTCGCCCGCACCTGCTCTGCTGTGCCGCGCTCCTTCGCTCAGCGCCAGACTTTGCCCTTCACTTCCCTGCAAAGCTCTCACCATGGCGGGCGCCGGGCCCAGCAGCGCGCCCTACGACCAGGAGCTCCAACTGGAGCGGCTATTCCACGGCCTCTCTCAGGGGTTTCAGAGACTGGACAAGCTGCCCGAGAGCAAGCAACATACGCTGCTCAAAGAGCTGACGGCGGACATGCAAGAGGCCAAGACGTGAGGCGGCGCCGGGGTGTGTGCGCAAGGTGGCCGGTGGCAGTGCCGCCAACTAAACGCACGCCCGGTCCTCCAGCTCTCCTGGACCTACTTCCCTGCAGGTTGATACGCGAGTTTGAGCGCGAGGCGCGCACCGACGGCATGCCCGCCAACGAGCTCAACTTCCGCAAGAAGCAGTATGTGCAGGAGCTCAACGGCTTCATCGGCCTGAAGAAGGCCTACAGCGGCGCTGCGGCGCAGCGTTCAGAGCTGCTGGAGGGCGCCAAGAGCGAGACAGAGAAGCTGTCGAGTGCGTTGTAATAGATGTTGTGTTTGTGGTGGTACACAAATCTGTCGGCGTGAGTCGCGTTCTGCCGTCTCAGCCCTGGGTGCATGCACGCATGCCGCCCCCTGCGCCCTGCAGCCATGAACACCACGGAGCTCATGCAGCTGGGGCGCCAGCAGATGAAGGAGACGGACGTCTCGCTGCTGCGGTCGGAGAAAATCGTGAATGACACCATGGCCATTGGCATCCAGACAGCAGAGACACTGCAGGGACAGACTCGGCAGCTGGAGAAGGTAGGCTGCGGCACCGGCTGGGGCTGTTGAGATGTGTGGGTGGAGTGGGTGACATAGGTGGGGTAGGCTGGCACCGCCGCATGCCAAGGCTAGAATGATGTCTGCAGTGTCCTGCCAGTGGAAACGTTTTTGCTGCTGCCCTTCGTACGTCTCGAGGTGCGATGAGCTGACACCGCCCTGGCTGCAGGTCATAGACGATCTGGACGAGATCCACTTCACCATGAAGAAGGCACGGCAGGTCATCCGGGACATGACGCGCAGCCTGATGACTGACAAGTGAGCTGGGCACCTAAGAGGAGTGCATTTTCGTGTTCAGCTTGCGGCATGACCACGCTCTCAAATCAGCCATGCAGCATATCAAGTGCCATCTGCGTTCTGCAGGCTCATCATGGCTCTGATCCTGCTGGTGGTGTTGGGCATCGTGGCGATCATCGTGCTCAACATCCTCAAGGCACAAGGAGTATCGCTGCCCGGGGTGAGGCTGGTTGATAGTGCCAGCACATGTATAGATCCTCCATGTGAGCCTGCATGCTGCTCACCTGTGCCTCTTTGCAGAGCCGGCGGCGGCAGCTGCTTTGGGAGCCGGAGGGTGACCGCCTCTTGTGACAGCCGCATTCCACACTGCTTTGCAATTTGTACTCACTCATTCTGTTTAACTCTCATTCTGCTTGACGCCATTCCCTTGCTTGACGCTCCCTGCTATTTGACTAGGCCCTTGTGGCCCACCCAACGCTGTAAATTTCTTTGTCATGCCCATCCCAACGCCATGCGTAAAGTCCTTCCCGACAACCAACCTCCTCCCTGCTAGCGAGCCCCCCGGCACTTCATGCAACGACCTGGATGCTGAAGAGATATTCCCATCCTAGACCAATTTTGAGCCGGATGAGAGGTTTACAAGACTACAGAATCCACAAGTGAAGGACTGAACTCGACGTTTCAACTCTGAGTAAGGGTACTGCCTGTGCTGCTGTCGATCAATATATGCGCACCTTGAAGACGGTTATCGACACAATGTTTGCGAGGATGATGAAAGCTGCATGGGGATTCAGTAGACATGAGCTTCTTGTAGGCCTGCATCCAAGGGCTCTGAGCGCCCACCCGCCCGCCCCTCCGCTAACAAACATAAATACACAGACACACCCTCTTACGCTGGCTATGTCCGCAGGCTATCCATCAAGCTCACCGGCAAAGGCAAAGACGGCGTCGCCAAACTTGGCCTTGGGGTCTATCTGGGTGCGGTAGAGAGTGAAGAGCGCGTAAAACACGATGGGGGACAGGACAAGCGCCCAGCCCGCGGCGGTGATGCCCAGCGGTGCTACATCGGCTGCCTGGCTCTCGTCCGCCAGAGCTGGCCCGCTGAAAAGCGGCAGGGTGCTGAGTGCCAGCGCTGCGGTGGGCGCAGCCCGGTGAGAGCTGGAAATTGGTGGTGGCAGGGGCTGCTCAAAGCGCACCGCCAAGCACCTGCGTGCAGGCGAGCCGGTGGAGGCAATGGAATCGTCAAATCCTTCAATGGTATCAATGCACTATGTTGCAACGAGCACTCGCCGGCGGCAGTGGCGGAGGGCGGCATCGACGGCAGCAGAGGGCCACCGCTACCCCAAGGGGAAACATGGAGTCAGGTTCCATGATGCCGCACCTGGCAGTGGGCCGTTGCGGACCGCTGCAGGCGGCCCCGACACGCCGAGTTGCGGGAGCAGCTCGAGACCCGAAAGGCAGAGTCGATTGCATTGCGCGTGTGAGTGTGGGTGCAAGTAAGACCAGTTGGAGATCCACGACATGCGTTTCGACGCCGAGATTGCGCGGATGTGGCCAGCGTACCTCACCAAGTACAGGCCGGTTTGGCGAGCTGCGCGAAGGAGAACTCCCTCATTAGTCCCCCTCGTTACTCCCCGCGAGCATAGCCACTGCCGTGCAGAGTAGCCACCGCAGGGCTCCATGCACTGCGCGTCGCTCGGAAGGCCCGTTGCGGCTTGCAGCCGTGCCGGAGCGCAACATACCAGACACTGGAGATGCTGCCGTCAGCATCGAGCCGCCCGCCTGGTGGCAGCCACGGCGGCGGCACCCGCCCGCGCTGTGCACCTCTGTGAAGACAAATGGATCGAGCGCACGTTGGAGGTCATCGTTCCCGAGAGCGCTGCTCTGCCCAAGCCGTGAGTCATAATGCACTGGCGCTGTTGCATTTCACCTCCTCGGCATCCACCTCACCCGATGTCCAACCCCTCTCCGCTTGCCACAGGCTCGCCAGCCTGCAGGCCAGCTGCCTCTCTGCACTGGCCACCTTGCGCATGCCCACCACCCGCAACGAAGAGTACCGCTTCACAGACCTCAGGTCCCTGCTGCAGCACAGCCTGGGCCCCACCGCAGGAGCAGCTCCCGATGCAGCAGTTCGTGCTGCATGCTCGCTGAAGCAGGTTGCAGCTGCCACGGTGGTGGTAGCGGATGGGGTGATCGACCAGCAACAGAGCAGCATTCGGGATCTTCCTGCGGGTGTGTACGTGGGCGGCTTGGTAGGGGCGCCGCAGGACATCGTCTCCCTTGCCCTGGTGAGCAGGACGTCTTTAAGAGTGCAACAGGATGGACTAGTTGTGGCCCGTGGCCTACGGCACGGGTGCTGTTCCTTCGTAGCCGGCAAGAGCAGGGAACTGAGGAGAGCAGGATGGATGCCTTGCCAGAACCTCCCACTTCCCACCCATCCACCCTCACTCCCACCCCTACTGCAGGGAGCACAGTCACGCAGCAGAGGCGGCCCCTTTGCCACCCTCAACGGCGCGGCGGCGCAAGATGTGGTGGTGGTGCATGTCCCCGCCAGCACAGTGATGCCCGGGCCCATCCATGTGCTCTACCTGGCCAGCAGCGCTGCGGCAGCTTCTGGCGGGCGAGCGCCAGTTGCAATGCCCCGCCTGTTGGCAGTGCTAGAGAAGGGCGCCGTGGCAGACATTGTGGAGGAATTTGCGGGGCCGGCTGCAGCTGCACCCCTTGCCCCTGCCGACGCGAAAACTGCAGACAGCTCACTAAATTACTTTACCGACGCGGTGGCAGAGTTTGAACTGGACGACAGTGCAGTGCTCAAGCACAGCTACGTTCAGCTGGAGAGCACAGGCGTGGCCCACATGAAGGCCACGCTGGTCAACCAGGGGCGCAAGAGCAGCTACAGCCTGACCGAGGCACGGGTGGGCGGCACCCTGTCGCGCCACGACCTCAACATCGAGCAGCTCGGGGAGGGCACGCACAGCGAGGTGCGGGGATGTGAACATGGTTGCTGGCTCTTGGTGGCTTGCCCAACCTTGCATGCCCCCCTGTTCGCACAGAGCCAGCATTGGCTTAAGCTAGTTAGTTGTGTGCCTTGTTCTCTGCAGATGCGCAGTTTTCTTCTGTGTGGCGACGGCCAGCTGCACGACCTGCACTCCAAGCTAACGCTGGACCACCCCAATGGCGAAGCCAACCAGCTGCACAAGTGAGTGAAGGCACGAGGTCGTAATGCGTGTGCATGCAGCAGGGTGTGATGTGAGGGAGGTACCCAACTGGTTTTGGGAGGGTGTCCCTCTGGTGATGGCGAGTGTCTCATACACTGTACTTGTCTTTCTCAGCTGCTGTTGTGGGCTTTGTGTATTCTCAGTGGGCACAGCAACCTGCACCTGCGTGGAAGACGCCCTGGTTGCTGTTGCAGGTGCATCGTGTCGTCCCCCACAGGGCGGGGCGTTTTTGATGGCAACGTGCGCGTCAACCGCCTTGCCCAGAAGACAGATGCGCAGCAGCTCAGCCGCAACCTGCTTCTTGTTCCGCGGGCCACGGTCAACATCAAGCCCAACCTTCAAGCAAGTAGCCGTGGCTGGGCGTCCTGAGTGCAGAGTGCAAGAATTTCAGCATAAGTGTCTCGACTTATTCTATGCTGTTCGCAGATCATCGCTGATGACGTTAAGTGCACCCATGGCTGCACTGTGTCCGACCTGGAGGAGGAGGAGCTGTTCTATCTGAGGTGCTGGGTGCTCCGTTTGTCCATGAGTGGGTGTTGAATGCTCTGCCTGCACCCTGCTGACACCTGGCCTGTGCTGTGCAGGGCACGGGGCGTCACCGCGAACGTTGCCCGCCAGATGCTGGTGTACAGCTTTGGGCTCGAAGTGGTGCAGGGTCTGCGGGACGACGCGCTGCAAGCCCGTGTCGAGGCAGCAGTGCAGCGGACGCTCGACTCGTTTGCCACTAGGCTATAGGGTTTGCTCGAAAAGAGGGCGGCCCCATTGGGGAGATTGGTGTGTTACAGCTTGCTCATCTAGCTAACATAGCACGCTTGCTTGTTGATGCGCCTGGGCAAACACCGCATATGCTGCTGACTGCACTTGCTGCAAGTTCGAGTTGTCCGGCATCTGCAACACTATGTCATGTTTGACTTAGCAGACCAGGGTTTGTGAGGAACATGATGCAAGCGCAACCGATGCTGCATACCTTCAACACGAGTGGAGTGTCTTGAGCAGAGCTTGCTGCAAAACGATACGCGACATTACACCTAGTGTGAAGCGTGTGCATGTCCAGATGCGGGGCACAGTTGGCAACTTCCAGCAGTTGTGAGGCGCCATTGGGCCTCGGCCAGTACGTCCAATCTCGCTCCTTGTTGTTCCATGCCCAGTCACAATTAGGTTGATAGAGCAGACGGTCAAACGTAACAGGCTTGTCACTAGAGCAGCTGAATCGAGTCAAATGAAGGCGGTGGTGAAACATCAGTACGCCGTTTGGTGTGTACTGAATGCGACCCACGTTTGCAAGCCGTTTGTCCCCTTCCTGCGAAGCGCACAAAAAGCTTGAACGTACATGTGTATGCGCACCTCAACAGGCCACACACAATTGAAGGTATCTTCACCCCCCAAACACAAACCTACCTTGCCCAAATCAGTGCCATCTTTTGGCGCAACACCTCCATCATTGGCAGTGTAAGAGACCATGTGCGGCACCTGCACACAGTTGAAACGAGGTCACTGATAAAAGTTGGAGGCACATTATGCTTCCTTGTTCTCGCACCAACCTGGTAATAGCTCTCAGCCATGTTTGCCAGGATAAAAGCAGCCCGGAAGGTGTTCTTGTCACCAAACGTATACCGGTAGGTGAACGAGTCGTGGGTGTTGAACCAAAGAGCCCACTCCAAGGCAAGCACATGGCGATACCTGTACACATTGCTCCGTAGGCAGTTGAGATTCAGTCTGGAATTGCTTGCATTTAAAACCTGCTCACTTGTTCAAGAGCAGCTGCCCGGTTTCTGCTTGCTGTGGTTTCACAGGAGGATCCTTCCATTCATCCTTCCACGGATCGTCGATTCCCATTCGATAGTACAAGCTGACGTTCTTGCACCAGTCATCTGGCCAAAACATGCTGCCGTGCTGCCTGTATTCTTCCATTTCAAACAGAATTTCGGGCTTCAGAAGGGGGAGCGCTTCGTTGTCCAAAAATAGCACTTCCTTGTACGGTGCAGCATAAATGGTAAACACCTTGAGCTTATATCTGCAGATGACAAGCACAAATCACAACTGCATAGGACGCAACGCGGCCTGTAATTGTACAGACAAAGCATGCATCCTTATAAACAAGCAACAGTGCTTGGAAGACAGTGGCAGCGCCGGCAGTGCATTACCCTGCGTCTGGAATATGCAATGCTTTCCCAGTCTCCCAGAGCCAGCGGTGATGGTGGGGGTACGGTAAGCTCTCTACATCCACAAGCTCTAAGTTGCTGATTTGCGACTGCAGGCCGGACAGAAACAAAAGCAGCTGCCGCTCAAAACTTGTTGATTGCCCCCATCATGCAACCATGTGCCTCACTTGTATGTATTCTAGGGTGCCCTTGCCCATGTTGTCATAACTTCCCACATACCTGCAGCATTTCACAGCATCCATCCCACTCGAGACTGGGGTGGGAATGGCTCCTTCAAATGGACGCATGAGCATAAACAACCGGCGCCCCACTCACATCATGGTGATGGGAAGCTGGCTCTTGAGATGGTTGCGCACCACGTGTGCAACCACAAATGCGTTCATGAGCAGATCGCCTCGTCCTGTGCACATGACAATGCCACGTTCCTTGGGCCATCTGCTCCTGGTTGTGGCCAGAACTGAGTCTGTGAGATGATGGCGAAAAACTGCAAAATCTCCTAATGTGTCCTCATCAATGCGTCTATTCTGTAGCGATAAGGCGGCTTCCAGTTCCTTTAACAATCTGTCTTGGAGCGCTATCCGAGCATCTCTCGCCTCAATATCCTTGTCCCGCTTTTCAACTTCCTTGTCTCGGATGGCGACTTCCTGCTGATGTTTTAGTAACTCTTCCTGCTTTGCATGTATCTCGTGATCCATGCTTTTCAACTCCTCATTTTTAGTTTCCAACGCAGTTGCTAGCTCTTTCAAATTTGACGTCTGCACGTCGGCTAGTGCCTGCTGGACTCTTTGCACAGCGTTGTGCAGGACCAAGCGTTGGTCTGCTAACAGGCCGTCCTGGAGCTCCTGGGTGTAACCCTGCATACAGTAGCCACGTTTGGTAGCTACCCACACACTCTGACAGGCCTGGGCCCCTTTAATTCCCTTCTCCCTCTACCTTGCTGTAGGACGAAATCCAATAATCTACTAGCTCAACGGTGCAGATTGCCAGAACCACGAGGGCCGCTTGCCTCAAACGATTTGCCCTCGAGTCTACCTTCATGGTCCGGACGTATTCATACATCAATACAACAAACTACGCACCGCACTCAGCGAACATAATAATCACTGGGGCACGGGAGGGCCTGCGAACCAGGCACGCCACGTTGGCTCCCCTCAATCGGTCTCTTCGTGAATCTACTCTTTCGCAATTCGCAACAGAAATACTCACAAAGCGCTAATAAAGCTGAATCCCTGAACCTCAGGGTCTCACGGTCTTTATGCATCATAACAACATCATAATCGCCCCACAACCTGCTGTAAGAACGCTATACTGTCTGCACGCTCACACACTGAGCTTTAAATCCTGTCAGTTGGCCTGCCTGCTTGTTACTGCTTCATCCCACCCTGCCCAAACAACAAAGTCTGTGCTGCAAGCTTGTTCTTGCTGAAACCAGACTGTACCCACACAAGCAAGCAAGCATGCTCATACATACATTTTTACATATGTGGTGCAAGGAAACTGAGACAGTCCTAGCTAGGCATGAAATTTGGTTCCGCAGCTGCCTAGCTTGGATGCTGGCCCCCTCCGAGCAGCGGGAATACAGGATGGCCACCCTCCGCAGGAAGCTCAAGCGGCAGCTGCTGTCCTGGCCCGGCATTTACGACATGGGCCCCATCCCCCTGCTGCGTGCCATTGACACTGCTGTGCAGGGCCTCTACCGCCGCTACCTGATCTTTGAGGAGTTGGGTTTTTTTTCGGGAACTTCACGGAGCCCTGCCCTGCACTTGCACTCTCATGCCATCCTTTCCTTTACCTCCCTCACCCTGCCTCCCCCTGCCCACTCTTTCGGCCGCCAGCTAAGTACATGCAGCTGACTCCCCGCAACGCTTACTGACTCCTGGTCCTCAGCTGCTCCATCGCAGGTGCCCGCATGTGCAGCATGCTTTTGACAGTCAGTGGGCGGTATCCCCGGCAGCCTGCCGGCCTTGCTTGTGGCAGCATTTGTGTCGGTGGGACGCAGCCAGACAGCCGACAGCACGCTGCATACCCTAGCTGGTGGCCCACCCTCCCTCTATCCTCTCTATCTTCCCTCTCTTTCCCTTTTCCCTTCGGTGTTATTCAACACCACCTCTACCTAGTGGACTACTCGCCGATGTTTTGCTCGGCGGTACGCCTGTCTATGCCTCGATAAATCCTAGCTGAGCCTTCCCACCGCAGCCTCCCAGGCTTCCTACCTGTCCCAGCCCAGGGAGCGGCGTTCCGCAGGGAGCCCCGTCCTATCTGTCCCATCCTGCCTACCTTCCCTACCCGCCGCCGGGGGGCGGCGGCGGCAGCTGGGAAAGGTCGGTAGGATGGGAAAGCTGGGATGGGGCCCCCGGGGCTGGCGGCGGCGGCAGCTGGGATAGGTAGGTAGGATGGGAAAGCTGGGATGGGGCCCCGGGGGCGGGCGTCGGCATGGCCCTATCGGCATGCTGTCCTACCCTCTCCCAGGTAGGACAGAACCGCCCCTCTTGCCCATGGCTCGAAATGGGTGCGTCGGTATGGTCGATGTGCGGAAGCGTTCGCCGCCTTCGCTACGGAAGGCAGGCCCAAAGGAGAACTGATAAAACTCAATAGAATGCATTTCTGGTCAGCTGAAGGACTCAGTGGAGGATCGAGGTGCCAAATCAAGAGCTTTATCAATAAATCAGCTACCGCCACGGCCGATCCCATGCAACTTCAAGTGTGTTCCCTGGTTTACACGACAATATCATACATTCCCTGCTGAGCAGGAAGCAAGGACGAGGACAATTAGGCAGGGAAAGGTAAAAGTAAGCAGGGAAAGGTGGGGAGAGGGTTCCCAGGGAACGCCCTTATTGTCCTCGCAGGGAATGCACTTACCAAAATTGTTCTTCCCCAGGCAATCCCTGCTCCTCTTGCTCATTTCAATGAAATGATCCGTTTCGGCGCGCGACGAAGGATCCGTTTCGGCGCGCGACTAAACAAAACCTGGTTCAAACCTGACAGCCTCTTTGCGTTTTCGTCCCATGGGATCGCTCCAGGCTCCCCTCCATTGATCGATCGCGCCAGGCAGCGAGACGTTTTCTAGCGCGCACCAGCCGGGCTCGGAATCAGGGGTGGAAAGGAGGAACAACGGAATGGCATGGAAAGCTAGCGAGGCAGAAGCGGCATTCGGGGAAGATGGGCAATGCAACGAACCAAACCGGGGAGGACGCCCCGCATTCTGGGCCTGCTCCGGCGCACGCTGTTGCTGCTCGTCACCGTGCTGGCTGTGAACGCGTTCAGATACATTCCCTGCAAAAATAGTTCAGACGTGCGGCCAAAGGTCGCTCTACTGACAGCTCACCCTGGCACCATCAACGACTTCAAGTACGTTGCCGAACGGCTCGGGCTGGACGTCACTATTTCCGACGGCTATAGAGGCATTCCAGGGCTGAAGGCCTATGTCATCTCCCGGGAGGAGGCGCTGGGTGTGTGGAGCAGCCTAGGCGAGCTGTATTGCAAGCACTATGATGCCATTGTGGTTAGCGACACTGTGCCGGCAGGGGGACGGTCGTTTCTAGAGGCATTTACACGAATACCAGGAATAGCTGAGAAGTGCCGCACTCGTCGAGTAGTGATGCATGTTACCAACAGATTTGATTTTGGAAACTATGGCGACAGCACATTTTACGAGACGGTGCAGGCCAGCTTATCTGTTGACAAAATTCGATGGGCGCAGGTAAACGTAATGTGTTTGGCATGGGCTGTGAAAGGATGTGAGCGTCCATTGTGGTTGTTGTGAGTGCAGAACAATCCGTACGAAGAGTTTTATATGATGCGGCGAAACATAACCTTCATGCAGCCACTACCTGTGCTGCGTCCCCAGGGCTTTCTGCCCCAAGGCGTCATGTTCAAAGACTCTGGCCCCGTGCCCGAGCCCGATCCCAGCATGCCAGTTGCAGTTGACAACCCCGATCGGCCAATCATCAAAATGTTGCATCGCCTGCTACAAGCTCAGAAGATTAGCTACAGAACTGTCCAGCATCGACGGTATGGTGGGCCCAGCGGGCTGGCAAAGTACAAGTGCCTTATCGACGTGCCATACCAGGTGGGCTGGCGGGGCCAATTTGCAAGTCTACACATTGATCTTTTGTGGTTTGCACCATGTGTAACCTGTCACTATGAGTTGTTTGCTCGCATGCAGGTATCGACGATGGCACTTTACGAGAACTTGGCAGCAGGCGTCCCATACCTGATTCCCTCCCCGCAATTGCTGGCGTTGTGGGTGGATGGGAAAGCTGATGCAGATGGCGAGAAGCATGATTTTCCAGGCGATGGCAGCGGGGTAGCATCCCTTGGAAGTCCAAACTTTCCGCTGGATCGCATGGACTTTTACAACAACTTTGCCAAGGACGTTGTGTTTACGTTTGATAGCTGGGACGATTTGCGTCACAAGCTCGAAACCATTGACTTTGACGCTGCACGGAAAAAGGCAGTGGATAAGATGGATCGGTTGCGCGAGCAAGCAGTGCTGGATTGGAAAGATATATTGAATGTTTGAAATGTCATTGTTCCTATCGCATGTTTTTCATGTAAATCTGTTCCAGTTCTGTTGCTGAGGGAGGAGGCGGGCCATTTCGACATTGAATGCCACATTGCATCTGAGCAGCTCTCGCCGAGGCTCCCTCCACAGCAGCATCTGGCCACATTGCATTTGCTGGGGGAGCAAACTCTATTGCAGCTTCGCAGATGTTGCTGATGAGGAAGCTGTATGGGCTATGCCTCAAGAATTTCTATGCGGGTACTGCGGTATCAGGCCAACCAGTCTGTGTAATCTCAGGAGAGCTGAAGGTCGGCCCCTGGGCGCAAAGGGATATGAGCAAGTACGTGCGTCACCTTGTCTGTAGCTGAGTCCGCGTTAGATAGCTGACTCCGTGTCAGATAAATTAAACATGCTTACCATGCCTTTACCATTTCAGCCACGCTATCCCATGCACCACATCATCGCTGTGCCCGCCAGCCTGGCACCCCCTGGCCTCCCTGTGTCAGTCAGACGAACGAAATGCCGGGAAGCCAATGCAGAGTGGGGGGAGATCGATGTTTGAACCGCTCTTCCAGCTTTTACAAGTGTGCATAAAGGTCACTCGCTCTTCATGTCCCTGAGAGCCGAGTACGACACGCGCACAGCCGGGCCCATGGTCGTGCACACCGTCATGCTTTTCCAGTACACACCCTTGGCCCCGCTGCATAGGGGCAGAGGCAAGCTAGTCTCAGCTTCTCAGCTCCTCACAACCCACTCATCAGCTGCACCCTGAAGCTATTGATGCCTTCACACTTAATCCACCCCTGCGCCCCCATCCTCAGCCGCACCTGGGCCGGTTGGCGTCGATGCTGTCCTGCACGGCCTTCAGGTTCTCCAGCAGGTCATCAGGGCTGAAGGAGGCCTTGCCAAACCCAAGGTGCACGTTGCCCGCCTTGTCGGCGCGGTACTCCACCTTGCCGCCCTTGAAGTCCTTCACAGCCTGCAGGGTGGGCCAGGTGCAGGTTGGGCCAGGGGCAGGTTGCCGTGGATGGGACGTGTCAGAGGGTTGTGCCAATGCAGGAGGCTATGTTAAGATGTGCAGACATGCACACTCTGTGGGATGAGCACAGGACATCAAGCAGCTCACCGCGGCAACATCGGTCGCCACAGTGCCCGCCTTGGGGTTGGGCATCAGGCCGCGTGGGCCCAGGACGCGTCCTAGCTTGGCCAGCTTGGGCATCATGTCGGGCGTGGCCACCAGCTTGTCAAAGTCCATCATGCCGCCGCCGATGGTCTCAATCAGGTCCTCGGCGCCCACAAAGTCGGCGCCAGCATCACGCGCCAGCTTCTCGTTCTCACCCTGGCACACTACCGCCACACGCAGCGATTTGCCTGAAGCCAGTTGAGAGGTAGCATGGGGCACATGGGGGACAGGAACAGTGCACAACGCGGCCCCACCCAGGCTTGTATGGGGCGCATCGGCTAATGGGCCCAAGCAAGCAGCCAGACTTTGAGTTGCAGGCATCTAGCACTGTCGGCCAAAGCTTTGGCAACATCTGTTTGCGCCACTGCTGTCGACTGCTGTCCCACGTGCCTGTGCCCTTGGGCAGCGACACGGTGGCGCGCAGCTGCTGGTCGGTGTACTTGGGGTCGATGTTGAGCTTGGCATGCACCTCCACGGTCTCTGTGAACTTGGCGCTGGCTGTGTCCAGGCACAGCTTGATTGCCTCGGGTGGCGGCAGCGCCGTCTCCTTACCAGGCACCTTGGCCAGCTGCTCTGCGAAGCGGCGGGACATCTTGGGCCGGCGAGGCGCTGCTCCTGCTGCTGCTGCTGGGCTGGTGGCCGCAAGGCTGGCCGCCGACTCCGCTTCGAGCGCCTCGACATCCACGGCCGCTGCTGACGCTTTAAGCGCCGGTCGCTGGTGCCGGATCTGCTGGCGGAGCAGGGGCTGCACGCACGGGGTGCTGCCCTTGGTCTGGGCGGCCACCCGGATGGGCACCACTTGCATGGCGTGCAGGCTGGCCGCCAGCGCCTCCATTGCGTCGGGAAAGGGCAATGTGGTATAACCGGGGCACGAATGGGCGGGTTTAATGGTGAGAAAAGGGAGCCTGATCCCGGGAGGGGCAAGGTAGAAAGACGTTGATGTCATGTGTTGCAACATGTTGCAACATGTCATGTGTTGCAACATGTTGCAACATGTTGAACCCCTTGTCACACTGCTGCTTCTGCTTCGTTCGGGAGACGCAATTATTGCTATTACACAGACACACATCGAGAATCCTGCAGGGAGCTCCATGCAGACATCAACATCACAAGTGCAAGGCCGCCGCTCAGCAACCACGCCGCTCAGCAACCCGGTGGGACTTCATTCGCCTTTGGCAAATGCAATGCCCTTCTCGATGCTCGAGCGCAGCTCAGGCAGCATCGCCTTGAGGCCCGCCTGCAACAAGACAACAGAAATCAGCGCCTACACTGAAACTGCGAGGATGGCTAACCAGTAGTTGCGAACGCACCGCTTCATAATCGTTCAAGGAGCCGAGCCCATAGATCTGCTCCACGCCTGCACAAACAAAGCACCAAGACACATCGGCCACAGCTTGGAATTGGGAGCGGCTAGCATTGCAGCAACCCACACCCACCACTCACCGTTCTTGCCCAGCTTGACCTTGCTGCTGAAGAAGGGCACCTCGGTGATGGTGGAGGCCACGTAGGTGCACTCCACGACGTCGGGGTCGCCGTTGAGGCCGCGGAGGCAGGCGTCGGCAAACAGCGCACCCGCGTAGGCCATGGACAGCGTGGCAGAGCCCTGCAGAGAGAGTTTGGCTGTTGGTTGAATCACAACCACCTTTGGATACTAGCAGACAACCAGCAAACGCGTCTGACCTTGCCGGCCTTGGCCTGCACCACCTCGGTGCCGCCGTCCTGGGTGCGCTTGGTGAGAGCGTCAATATCGGCCTCGCTCAGCTTGTTGGCAGCGTTGGGCACCGCCTGCGGGGCAGGGGCATAAGCAAAGGATCTCGTCGCAAGCTACCCACCCATGGTGCAGCAGGACAGGTGCCTCCAGCCAACCCCAGGTTTCATCGAGGTGCACACCTGAGAAAAGAGGGGCAAGATGGTGACGCCTGCGTGACCACCCACCACCGGCACGTCCACCTTGCTCACATCCAGGCCCGCCTTCTCCGCGTAGAAGGTCTTGGCGCGCACCTGTGATGCGGGACAGCAGGCGACAGTTGGCAGGTTGAGGGCGGCAGATACAGATGATAAAGCACACGCGACAAAAAGAAGCAAGCTTTGCTCACCACGTCCAGGGTGGTCACGCCCAGCACGCGCTTCTCGTCGTACACGCCCAGGCGCTTGAGCGTCTCGGCAGCAATGGGCACGGTGGAGTTGACAGGGTTGGAGATGATGTTCAGCAGCGCCTGTGGCAAGGTGGCCAAGTGAAATACCACAGCTCAAACGTGTGCTCTCATCAACCCAACCGGTCTGCCTGAACACCCAAGCTTTACGTGCCTTGGGGCAGTGCTTGCCGCACGCCTCCACCAGGGCCCGCACAATGCCGGCGTTGATCTTGAACAGGTCATCACGGGTCATGCCCGGCTTGCGGGGCACGCCCGCCGGGATGATCACGACATCGGCACCCTTCAGGGCCTCGCCCAGCTGGTCCTCACCTGCAGGAGGAATGGGCCATGCGTGCAGGTGCAAATATGCAATCATGGCACATGCATGACAAAAAAACACGCGAGAGGCCCTGACCTGCGTAGCCCTTGACAGTCGCCTTGCTGTTGATGTGGCTGACGTCGGCCGCCACGCCGGGGGTGCCCGCGATATCGTACAGCGCCAGCTCGCTAACGTACGGAGACAGCTGCAGGGTGAGGGAAGCTGCAGGGTGAGGGAACGAGAGAGCAGGGTAGGGCGGATGGACGAGGGGGTTGTGTGGGCACAGACTGCTGCCTGGCTTGAGACAGACCTTCATCAGCAGAGAAAGGGGCTGCCCGATGCCGCCTGCAATCGGGGAGCAGCAAATGGGTTCAGCAGTTAACCTGACGGTTCAGCACCGGCCGTGCGGACCTCTGCCGCCGTCGGCAGCCGCCCACGCTGGAACGGGCCCAGCTGACGCGCGCTAGGGCAGAGGCCGATGCAGCACTGGTTGGCCTGAGCTGCAGCAGCTGCTTCTATTTAGAAGCAGACGGACAGCACACCGCTGCCATCATCGCAGCGTATGTATTCCCACGCTCCATCCGCCTGTTTCGCGCACCAGCGGCTCCTAGTACGGCGACTTTGCGGTCGAAATGCGCTGGGACGCTGCTAAAAGCCCGGGCGTGCTTTACCACTTCCTTGATCGCCTGCATCGTGGCTGCTGCTGCTGGGAGAACACGCACAAAGCAGAGGGGAGGGCTTCAGGGCCCAGGGTTCCCACTCATCCAGATGCATCCACCCTGTATTGAGCTTTCCATTGACAAGAACTCGTGCAGATGCTTGCAGTAGCAAGCAGCAGTTCTTCAAACTAATGCATGCACAGGGTTCAGGAGTCCAGGGATACATTGTCCCATCCTGCTCCCTTCTTGGCGGTCTCGCTGCCCTCAGCTGCCACCGTCCTGCTACCGCTGCCCTCTGCAAAAGGATCCTCAACCTCTTGCGCCAGGTACCGGCTCTTGCCAATCGTCGGCGACTCCACTTGCTCGTCGCTATGGGTGAAGCCTGGCCCCGCCAGCTGCTGCTCCTCGCTGCTGCCCAGCCCGCCCAGGACGTCGTCAGCACAACCCTCCGTCCCCTCGGTCTGCCCGGGCGCTGGTGGGCCTCCGGTGCTTCTCTTTGTCCACGTGCTCACGCCCCCGAGCTCCATGTTCATGAGCAGGTTGCTGCCCTGCTGGTGCTGCGACGACTCCTGGCCCACTGCACCCCATTGGGAAGGTGGTGGGCCAATCAGGCAGAGCGATGACGTAGCAGAAGAGTCTGCAGGTTGAGGCAAAGCATCCCTCCAACTATAACCTGGACCTACCCGCCACAAAGGTGCGAGTGCGCACTGTCTTTGGGGGCGTGGCCTGCTTGCGCGTGCCATCCGAGTACAGCACGTAGTCGTGGTACGCGGGCGCAAACTGGTGCACCGTGTCGGTCACCACGTCCCTTCACCAGCAGAACCGGGGGTGCTTGGGTAGAATTGTTGCATCAAGGTCGCAGCGATTTCAAGCTACCAGCACAAGGGCAAAGACGCACACCTGATGCTGATGGCGTGGGTGATGTTGCCGCCGCTGATGTTGCCACCAGCCACCACATACTCTGACCAGGGGAAGGCGAAGAGCATGAAGATGGCCGCCGGCAGCATCTCCACGCACAAAAGCCAGCTCTGCAGGTTGGTGCCCTCCTCCGCTGCACAGAAAACGCAAACGCAGGTGGTTTTCTAGGGCAACCGAAGCACTTTTCGGTGTGGTGGCTGCATAGGGTGCGCATGCGCGCCCCCCCCCCGCAACAGGGCCAGCAGCAACGCACTCGTGGCGATCGCGCCCGCGCTGGTGGCGATGGCGATGAACAGGCCCTGCCAGTAGCTCAGAAAGATGACTGCCTTGACAAGCGCAAACTTGAGCAGCGGCTTGAACGGGGCCAGCAGCTCGTGGGTGCCCAAGTAGAAGAGCAGCAGGGCATAGAGCGCCACGGTGTAGGTGAGGTTGTAGAAGATGGTGATCCAAAGGTAGCTGCACAAGAAATGGCCCAGGAGGGTGTGGAATGCTGGGCCAGCCAGGCGGCACAGCACACCGTTCACGGCACACCGTTCACGAACCCGTTGTCGGGCGCCCAGTCGCCCTCCGTGTAGTGCCCCGTGGAGTAGAGGATGAGCGTGAGCGCCGCCAGAATGGGCTTGACCAGCACAAACTGCAGTGCCATCTGCTTGGTGTACCGCACGAAGCGGCCGTTGACGGGCAGCGGCGGAAGGCAGCAGGTTCCGGCGGCCCACGAGGGTAGCAGCACAAAGCCGTGCATCTTGACCTCCACCGCCCCCGGGCCGCCCACATATGCCAGGCAGAGCGCCATGAAGTTGTAGATCACCCAGGCCTCGTAGCTGCGGGGAGGGTGGCCGTCCAGTGATGGGGGCAGGTGGCCAAAGGCCCGCAGAGCGAGGGCAGGGGGTGGTTTGTCGGGGGCCCACCAAGCGCCAGCCCCCACCCACCAGTCGCGCACGGTGTTCCAGTAGATGGCCTGGCTGGGATGGATCAGCGAAGGGAAGGAGCAGATGGAGTACATGGGCACCATGAAGATGATGCGCACGATGTAGCGCTGCACAAAAAGTGAGGCGGCGGGCGGCACGAGGGGGTGAAGAATGGGTGGCTCTAGCGGTTGGGGTGAAACTAGCCCCACACACCTGGAAGACGGGTTCTGAGTAGTGTCGCAGGTGCTGGGTAATCTGCGACGGGGTGGGTGTGAAGCGGGGTTGCTGCTAGCGACGCCAGCCGACGGGCGCCGCTTGAAACCGCCACTCGGCGCTGCGCGCAGGTGCCACCGCACGCTTCTGATGTGCTAATAAGCAGTGCCGACTGGACCACGAGCTTTCGCAGGCAGCACGACTGTGATCGCGAGACTGATCGACCTCACCCTGAAGAAGACACGCAGCTGGCCTGCGCTCACCTGGAGCAGTGCGCACGCCAGCCCTACATAAGCACAAATGGCAGCCACCACACGACCGTCCTTGTAGTCCCAGAATGGCATAGCTGCCCCCGCCCTACTCCCAATCCAGCAGAATGGACTCCCCCCAGAAAGAAGAGAAAGAGAGAAGAAGAACAGGCTTGACGAATGCAGGCTTCGGAAAATGAGACAAGAAAGCAGGGCTGCAATGCAATCTGTCGAAGATGGGCCCCCTTCACTCCTGTTTTCTCGATCGCTCCGGTGACTCAACAGGTCGCGCTGCATAAGCAACGCACACATCCACGCCGCCATGAACTGTTGCCTGAGCACTCTGGTGCCGATGGCGCGGCCGGCCGTGGCTCCGCGGATGATATCGGCGCGCCTGGGGTCCTTGGCTGGCTCCAGGTTCGCCAGGCAGCAGACTGTGCAGCGCGTGGGCCTGACCCCCCGCCCCGCCCTGCCAGCGCCGCCGCAACGTGGCAGCTGTGCGAAAGTGCAGGCCTCGGCCACCCCTGCTGCACCAGCAGACGGTGCGCAGAAATGTGATTCTTTTTTGCGCGACAGGGTTGGCCCTGGGTGGCAGCAGCGGCGCACTCACGACCAGAGCAATACCGACGCGGCAGCCATGCAACCCCTGTCGCAGGCATCAAGTGGGGGGCGGACCTCAAGAAGCTGGGCATCTGTGTGGCCATCGGCGCGGCTCTGTGGGTGTCCCCCGCTCCCGCCGGCGTGTCCAGCCAGGCTTGGCACCTGTTGGCCGTCTTCCTCTCCACGATTTGTGGCATCATCACCACCCCCATGCCCCTGGGAGCAGTCGCAATGATGGGCCTGGCGGCAGCCCAGCTCACCGGAGTCCTCACCTTTGCGCAGGCCTTCTCGGCCTTTGCCAGTGAGGTGGGAACGAGACAGCATGGCGCCTTGCTGTACGCAATCCCATCTCTCACCCATCTCCTTTTGCCCCTCAACAACAGATCCCGTGGCTGATCGCCATCGCCTTCTGGCTCTCCGGAGGCTTCATCCGCTCTGGGCTAGGCGCCCGCATCGCATACAGCATTGTGTCGCTGTTCGGCAAGACCACGCTGGTGAGGCAAACACTCATTCCTGCATCAGCAGCCTGTCTCGACGTTTTGGTAAACCCGTCGATTTCGACGTCGCAGGGCCTGACCTACTCGCTGGTGGCTGCCGAGGCGCTGCTGGCGCCCGCCATCCCCTCGGTGGCTGCCCGCGCTGGTGGCCTCTTCCTGCCCCTCGCCAAGGCCCTCTGCCTGGCCTGCGGTGCGTGTGTCAGTAGGCCAGCCAGCTCAGCCACCTGCTCTTTCTGCTGAAAGTCGCCTCGTTGGCCTTACGCTGCTTGGGCCTGACTGACTGACCTACACATACACCTGCGGTCACCTTGCCCTCCACTTCCCCAGGCTCCGACCCCGCGAATGGCACCGAGCGCAAGATGGGCTCCTTCCTCATGATGACCTGCTTCCTGTGCACCACCATCTCCTCGGGCATGTTCATCACCGCCATGGCCGCCAACCCGCTGGCCGTCAACTTGGCCGCCGAGACCCTGGGCTACACCATCTCCTGGGGTGCGCCTGGCTGGCAATTAAGACTCCTGGCTGGTGGTGAATTTGTGCACCGCAGCGCTAGCTTGCCGAGGGAGTCATGCGCTGCAGACACCCGCCCCCACATGGTGATTGCCTCCTCGCCTGCCCTGCCTGCAGGCACCTGGGCACTGGCCGGCCTGGTGCCCGGCGCTGTCTGCCTGCTGCTGACCCCCGCTCTGCTGTACGTGCTGTACCCACCTGAGGTGAAGGACACCCCTGATGCGCCTGCCAAGGTGAGCTATATGGGCTTGCAGCCATGCATGCCACATACTTGCATACACGAAATGCACTAGGAATCGTGATGTAGCACGCGTACTGGTAACTCTGCAGGCCCGTGAGGAGCTGGCCAAGCTGGGCCCCATGAGCACGGATGAGAAGTTGACTGCCTTTGCGTTTGCCATCACTGTTGGCCTCTGGATCTTTGGCGGCTCCGTAGGCGTCAATGCCGTGGCGGCGGCGCTCACTGGGCTGGGCATCCTGCTTGTCACTGGTGGGTGCTGCGTAGCCGGCACCTTGGTTCTGAAATCCTGGGGGAAAGGCATCGTCGCTTGCGCAGCCATGACAGCAGCTTTGCAGTTGAAACACTGCTTTTCACTCGGGTTTGGAGCCCGCTGGCCCTCGGCCTCCAGGTGTGGTCAGCTGGAAGCAGTGCCTCAGCGACAACCAGGCGTGGGACACGCTGACCTGGTTTGCTGCGCTCATCGCCATGGCCGCCTTCCTTAACAAGTTTGGCTTCATCTCCTGGTTCTCGGACAAGGTGATTTTTTTTGCCTCCTTGGCTGCACACCCATGTTGGCTTGCCGTGCCAAATCTACCCGGCAAGGTTGATTTCTCTTTCTTGCTTGCCGGCAGGTTGTTGGCATTGTGGGCGGCCTGGGCCTGAGCTGGCAGGCCACCTTTGGCATCATCCTCACCCTCTACTTCTACTCCCACTACTTCTTCGCATCAGGTGTGCTGCTTAATGGGGCCATGCTGCTCAATGGGGCCGTGCTGCTTAATGATTTTGCATCCCACATCTCTCCTCCCCTGCACCCTCCAGGCGCGGCCCACATCGGCGCCATGTACACTGCCTTCCTGTCTGTGGCCATTGCCTGCGGCACGCCCGGCCTCATGGCCGCACTGGCCCTGGGTGAGCTGTGTGCAACGGTGCCAGGACTGCAACTGAAGTGCTGGCGCTCCATCTTATTGGCCTTCCCTAACCCTTCCCCCTAACCCTTCCCCCAACGCCCCTGCAGGCCAGCTGTCCAACGTTATGGGCTGCCTGACCACGTATGGTATTGGCTCCGCCCCGCCGTGAGTTGGGCTGCTTCAGCCTACTGCCTCAAGAGAAGGCTTCGCCCAGGTGCCAAAAGCTTGCAAAGCTAGCAGTAAACGCGTGCTGCTGTTGCCCTGCAGGTTCTATGGGACTGGCTACGTGCCCCAGGCAAAGTGGTACCAGTGGGGATTCCTGTTCAGCGTGCTGTATCTTGCCGTGTGGGTGTTTGTGGGCGGGCCCTGGTACAAGGCGATCGGTATCTTTTAATGTGTTGCTTTGCAGAGTACTGTGCATTGAGACAGGTACAGCAACCGCTTCTGCTAACTTGTGTCCCTGTCAACCATAACAGCCAATCAAATTGTGAGAATAAGTTGACATCACGAATCGTTAGACAGAGCACAGCTCCTGTCCAACCGCGACAGCGGCAAACGGAGCCAGCTAGGGGTTCAGCTTCTGCCAACTCTCGATCTGCATAGACAGCCAGGAATGTTTCCTGCTGAGAAAGAGGCAAAAAGAACCATGTGGATGCATCTGGCGATGGAATGCTTGTGTAACACCAGGCTCACCCATGCAATCATCCCATCTGCCAGCTTGGAGAAGTAAGGGTCCAAATGTCCAAGGCCTGTGCGCACCTGCATAGAGGAACAACGGCAGTTTGGATGGGGATGGGGAAACACAACCCCTCTGGGTTTGGGAGGATGCGTCGAAAGGCAGAGTTGAGGCAGAGGAGGCATGTGCATACTGACATCGCCCACACCTTCTCTGCAAGCTCTAGGTAGCAGCTGAACACGTCTTTGTTCTCAGAGCTGAGAGTTACATTCTGAAAGAATGGAATGATCTCTTCCTGCAGGCACAAGAGTGGCGCATGAATGAAGAGTGTCAAGCAATGCCAAACAACTGCTTGCGATGACGAGCATGGTCTCACTGGCACCCCCCCCCACACACACACACACACCAGAGCCATACCCATACCCACACACCTGCCAAAAGATGCCCTTGTACTCCTTGCGCAGGTTGACAAAGGGGTTGGAGGCCTTGGAGTGCCAGATGTACGGCAGTCCAGTCTTCACGCCCAGATCCAGGTGGTCACATATCTGCAATTATGCAGGCAGGCAATGAGGCTTTTGCAAATGTGCGCTGACTCTGGAGGTACAATACCAAGTGTGCAATGAGCCCTGGAAGTAATACATGAACCGCAACTCACCTTCTTAACGCACCAGCCTGCCCACATGTCTGCAGACAGGAAACAGTGGGAACATCGTAAACGGCACGAGCAAAGCTGCAAATCTGCCAACAGCTGGCGCTGCAGCTGCCAGCCACAACAACCCTCAACCACAGCAGAGTCCCTGCTGCACATCAGCTCGCTCCTCACCATCATACCTGCAGTCAAGCACAGATGCTATAAACTTGGCAGGGAGGTGCCGCAGAATGCAGCCATGCCCCTGGCACGCATGTTACACAAGCTGTGCAGGCTCACCGTCCCCACGGCTGGCCCTCGCCCATGAGGCCAAAGTACATGGCGGGACCGATGGCGGTGCGATCAAATGCCAGGTTCATGCCGCACATGGGGAACAGAGTGCCCTGCAGGACGCAGGAAAACATTGGATGACGAAGCAGCTCTCCGACAGTTGCAAGAACAGCATGGTCGCTCCCCTAACTCCACCACCCCCGTCAAACCTTGGGGATGGTCATCACGGCGTCCACGTAGCGCTTGTTGCGCTCCATGGGCTTCACCATCTGGGTGGGCGCATCATAGTCGGGGATGTTGAGCCACAGGCCGTGGCTGACCGCAGTGAGCTTGCCCTCGCGCATGCTGAATGGGTAGCCACGCACAAAGTCGGCACCCGGCGCGTATGGATCGTACAGCGTGTTGAAGAAGTCGGGAGTGGAGGGGCTGAGCAGGTTCTTGATGTGCTGCTCCAGCGCATTGATGTCTTCGCCAGAAGGGTTCTTGGCGCTGCAGCGAAGGGGTTTGTCGTAGCAAGGGTTCCAGCGGTAGACAGCATCCATCTGGTGCAAAAGCCACCCACAGGCCCCCAACACACACTCCCTCACTCACACGAAGCAGTCGTCGTCGATAGTGTAAACATACTTCTTCTTGCTGATCATGTAGCCGAAGCAGCGGCAGGCCGAGTCCTTGAAGCTGATGCACCAGGCCTTGTCCCCCAAAAGCTTCTCGATGTCGTTCCTATTGTGCAGCTCATAGTCAAAACCTGCCGGCAAAGCAGGGGGGTCGCAGCTTGGGCGCGGCTGGACATTGGTGCGGCGGTTGACGGGCGGCGGCAGCCTCACCCTCGGGCACGTCGATTTTCTTGGTTGGGTCGCCGTCCTGGACGATAATCAGGTGGTAGGGCTGGAAGAAGGGGCGCCTGCAGCGCGAAAGCACACCTTGTGTATCAGATGCCAGACTGTTTGTGCGCCAGACCTTCCACTCTCCGCGCACCATTGCTCCAAGAAATCCAAGTTACGGATCGTGGGTATGACCTGCAAGAGAAACAGCTCGTCAGCGGGGCGGATGAGGGGCGTTGCAGATCTCGCGGGCACCGCAGCTCCTCACAATGTCCAGCTGGTCTGCCAGTGGGGGCGCCATCTTGCCGAGCTGGAACAGGCGTGGCTGAGAGCGCCCATTCATACTTGCTGCAAGAGTACCTCTGTACTTTTGGGGCCTCACTTCCTTCCCACATTCTGCACCTGGGCCCAGATGGGCTGCGCTGGTGTCCAGGCCGGTGCCAATCTGGCCTGCCGCAGGCACTATGCCTGAGAAGGCCCCTGACAGGTGCAGGTCAAACCGTGTGCCGCTGCCAAAGCCCTGCCATTGCATGGGACCTGGGAACAGCAACGAGCCAGTAGCAACACTCCAGCCTGGGTGAGAGAGCACTGTTTTTTCACTCCACCCACCCGCCCTTGATGGTGCAAAAAA